CTACAACTTGCAATTGATGTGTCCGATTTGAAGGTTTATGTTGTATCCGACGCTGTTTCTACGCGAAATGCACTTACCAGAAATACAGCACGTGATCTAAAAATATCGTCACGTGCAAATTATAAGCATGGAAAATGAACAAAGAATAAATGGTCGCCGATAATGAAACTCGTACAGAGAACAACACGTATATACTTGGTATTTAAATTAAATCGATAATAGTAATAATCTTAAATATACTTAAAAAACAAAATTAACTTGAAAGAATAAAACAGTTGGAGGATTAGAAATACGTTTAGTTGATTCACGCTTATAAAGCGTTTCCAAATGAAAACTTCTTAGTTAGACGAATTGTTCAGTCACATGTTCGGAAATAGAGGATCAGAAGTACTGCTCAAGAGGCTCTCGAGGTCAATACTTTAAAGTTTCGTTATGTGATAAGGCACATCATCGATGACATTCAGCAGCTTTGCTTTACCTTGAATCGTCAGGGAAAAAACAACGCTATTTTTATCCGTATTGTGTTTAAAAATATATAGTAATAAAAAAATTTTGTATAACCATATTTTTTTTCATTTGTATAAAATTAACAGACTGATCATTACACTGATCAATGTTTAAAGAATTTTTACAGTATAATTTCCAGTAAAAATGAATTTCCAATATAATTTCCATTCACAATGAACGACATTTACACCGATCGAAGAATTTTTCAATGTATGCACATTTCAATCTTCGTTATACGTACACATTGGATGCGCCTATATGTCAGCAACGCGTTTTTCTCTATAATGCATATCTTTACATTGCAGGGCAAGGTAAAACGTGGTGTGAAACGTGATCACGTTGATCACTTCTATTTATAATTACGTAAATGACATATAACGTCTGTAACGAACGTGCTTCCCTGACAAGTGAATGAAATTATACTACTAAACGCACGTTACATTAATACTACTAAACTTTACGGGAAATGTAGACAATACTTTAACACTATTGAGTAGCCGATTTATTAATTGATAAGTGTATCTATTTGGTACAATTATAAAACTATGAAAAAACTAACGTTTAATTATACAACATAAAAAAATACAATTTTCCAACAGATTTTTATTCAAGTGTATATTTTCGTAATTTTTTTGGTTACCTTTGATGCTAGAAATTTGTTCTTCGACGGTCTCACCTTGCCATGGATTATCTTCGACTTGAATAATCCAACGAATTTTCCTTGACTGCATCTGAAAACATGTGATCTTTGTTAAAAAAGAAAATGAAAAATTTGTTCGTAGTGAATTATTGCTCGAGTACCATCGAACTACAACAGATCAGTAGTACATGCTAGTTTTAAAGTCGATATATCGGTATCGATGCACGACTATTTTTTTTTTTGGATAGAGTGTTTATAGATAATGTGAGTAGAAATGAGTTTCCTCGATCGTAATTTTAACCTCCATGTGCGTAAAATTCTATCCAGTTTTCTATTTCTCTTTGATGTATTTTCATTTTTGCAAACTACTCAAATACGTTTCATAGAAATTCGCTAATATTTCTATCTGTTACTTTATACCACAAATGAACGAATTGTCCCTTTACGAAGACCAACGACAAAACATAATTAAATTTATTATACGAAAACTACGTGATTATAAAATTCTCTAGTTTGATTCTTAAATTTCACTGGTTACTGTGAGTCAATAGAGCTATTATTAATATAAAATTAGTGGAATAAATGTATGTTAACGATTAGATATGTAGCAATCGTGAATTAAATCAAAATGTAAATGATCGTTACGTTCAAATAAATTTGTAATTGTACGAAAAACATAAGAACGATTACCTTAAATAACATCGAAGAACATTAGAAAAATGTTTGTAAACGCGACGTTCATGGATCCACGTCTGAATATACTGTTACGGGCAATTCTCGTTCCACACTGACAATGATTTGTCTGTCAACGGAAGTGACACTCTGTATTGTGACTATCTGGCGGTTCGTTGCATCGACCATGCGTACTTGAATGTCGACTTTGCTAAGAAGAATTGTCAGAACTACACCCACGGGTTTGTCACTTACATACATATGTGGATGATCAGAGCTTTCGTCCACGAGATATTCCGACACGAGCACGAATCACTCTTAAATTCTCCCCTGTTATTAGCTAAAGAACACCATTCATTCCCAATCGCTTTAACACGCATGATGTGCCGGGTATTACAAGCACGATTAAAGTTTCAAATTCGTAACTTCAAAGTTTTACATCAACGTACTACGAATTTAACTTTAAAAAAGAAACTATGAAACAATTTCTCGTTTATTTAATGTCTAATCGTTATGTACAGAAAAATTGTACTACGTTAGATAGCAATTTGTGAGTGAACGCTAAACCACGTTTAACTGTACAATTTTTAAATATTGAATGTGCAACATTCATGTTTAATTTAAGGTTGAAATAAAACAATTTTTTTTTTCAAAAATATACAAAAAGCATTTGCTATCGTTCTAATTTATTTTATAAACACAAAGTTTCTTTTTAAATCACCACACTTTACTCGATTCATCTATTATAACTGAAAATTTTTAAATTTAAAGTTGTAAATACAAATCGATTTGTGTGATCGATCAAGTCATTATGAAACTACGCATGCGCCAAAAATGTCCGGAACAAACGATTAACCACGAGGTAGAAATCGGAAATAAACGTAAAACATAACCTACGCAGAACTGAAACAAACAAATATAAAAACTAAAAGGCAAAAATGTATTTAATGTATTATTTAAATGAAAATGGGGATCGAGTGTACACATTAAAGGTAATAAATATGACATTTATTTTAAACCGTATATATTTATCATTGGTACAAAAAATATATTACTTTTAGAGTATAGAAATTATATTTTATTTTGAAGTATTATAGTTTGAACAAAGACAAACTAGAAACTTTTACATTTGTTTTGAAATAAATGTGTACATAGATAACCTTATTTTTCTTTTTATTAATCCATATACTTTTTCTATAGAAAATGGATCCAAATGGAAGACCGACGCTATCGGCACATCCTGGTAATTAGTAAAATGTATTTTGCTTTATAAAATATTCTAGTTAATTAATATAAAATATTATTCTAGCGCGATTTTCTCCAGAAGATAAATATTCAAGGGAAAGGATAACATTAAAACGACGATTTGGTCTATTACTTACACAGCAACCACTACCTACCTATTAATAATTCTTTGTTGTTTATGATTAAATGTATTTTATATAGAAATGAAATTAAATCTAATATAAAAATTACTAAAGTATATGTGTGAATGTAATGTATTTATATGTTCTACTATTCATTGTTCTTGTACACATACATGATTAAACTTTCAACACCTACAACTTCCCCTTTTGATAATCTATATATAAACTTCCTAATAAGTTAACACACTTCTGTTGAAACATTTATACTATTTGCAATTACATGTAAGTTATATATGAAATACAATAGATATTTTACATGTGATGGATTAATTATTCATTTTATTTAATAAAATCCTTTTTTATTCAGAGTTCAGTTCATCTTAACATGTACATATAAAAAATAAAAGTCATATTTTTATTTATTATACAATATCTAATCATTTTGAGTAAGATACAGTTTTATCAAATAATATATTAATGAGATTACATAAAGCCAACTATACTTTAGAATTTTATGAACAAGTGCTTATACTACTGATAAAATTAAAACTCAAATTGGTGCATATAATAAGACTATAATTGCAAACTCAAAACTTGTACCAACAATTCATGACACTTGTACTTTTCATTAAATACACTGTGTTAAACTTAAAATAAAGAATAACAATAAGTATACA